AGTACCTATGTTCAGAACCAACTGTTGAGAAATCTATTTGAACTCAATTTCACAACCTACTAGAGAGACTAAAAACATGTTGAAACACGAGAGAAAATGATTAAAGATATAAATAAATCCAGACTTGTTTTAATACATGTGGCATCTCAAAGTACAAATTTTGTTACTTCATATTTTGGCTAGTGAGTTTTCTTTTTTTTTTTTTTTTAAACAAAATAGTCCTTCGCCAGATACCTCCAGATAAATGGCTTGGTGTACCCAGGATTCCAGAATTCTTATTCAATGATAATGAAAGGATGCTTCCCTAGGGTTTTATAAAACAAAGCATTGGGAAAAACATAAATGACGTTATTGGTAAAATATACAGATTTACTGACTAGTTCATGTGCACAGGCATTGTGAAATATGTGGGTGTCGTTTTGATGATTGAGTCCTCCACTCAGTAACTAGTCATAGCATGAACTCCAGAGCCAGGCTCTGGGCTTGACTCCCAGCACTGCCACTTATTGTCTATATGGCCTCAATCAAGTTACCTAACCTCTCTATGCCTCAGTTTCTCTATCTAGAAAATGGAGTTAGTAACAATAACCCCTTTGCAGGATTACTGTGAAGACTAAATGAGTTAAAATATGTAAAGCACTACAGCACCTGGACATGGCAAATAAAAGGGAGGTGTTGGCTCCCCATCTCTCAATATTCCTTTGTCTTCCACATCAGCAGTTATCAATCTTTCCCCCAATTCATCACGTTGAGAAATGTATGTTTTCATCAGTAATGGGAGCTTACTATGGCAGTGATTTTTAAGAGGAAGGTATGGAAACTTCCCTGGATGGGGCAAGGGTTGGAGAGTGGAGAATTAGACTCTTGTGGATGCCTTCACCTTGTAAATGCTCCCCAGATGACTTTGACATCCACTTCATTTTTTTTTTTTTTTTTTTTTTTTTTTTTTTTTTTTTTTTTTGAGACGGAATCTCTCTCTGTCACCTAGGTTGAAGTGCAGTGGCATGATCTCGGCTCACTGTAACCTCTGTCTCCTGGGTTCAAGCAATTCTCCTGCCTCAGCCTCCCAAGTAGCTGGGACTACAGGCACACGCCACCACACCCAGCTAATTTTTTGTATTTTTAGTAGAGACTGGGTTTCACTATTTTCGCCAGTCTAGTCTCGAACTCCTGACCTTGGGTGATCCATCTGCCTCAGCCTCCCAAAATGCTGGGATTACAGGCGTGAGTCACCACACCCCACCATCTACCCCATTTTCGTGAGAGTCATGAAGTAGAATAGTCCATCCAGAGATACTGTTAGCATCAATTATTCTAATCGATGCTAACATACAATTTCTTTGATGACCTGCTGGTCCCTGACAGAACGATTCTCAGATCCTGCCTGCCCCTTTCTACCCACTCTGTCAAATTATCAGCATTATAGGTTTGCTTCTCTTTTTACAGTAAGAGAATATGTGCATCCCACGCATCACCCAAACTACTCCGAGTTCTCGGACAGTCATGCTGCTTCCCTAAGCCGGAAGCAGCTGTCTACACTGGGGACACAAGTTATGCAACTATCCTGTGATTTGAAGTGAGGATCAATTTATGAGGGTGTTTTTCATGAAGTGTTTTAGTTTTGCTGTGGGGAAACCCAAAGAGGCCATCTCTCTGCAGAATTCTGTCTTCTAAATATTGTAGTCAGACTTTAAAAACTGCCAGCAGGTGGAACGCAAACAAACTAAGAACTGCCTTTCCCTGGGGCCACAGCCAGGGCTCTGCTCTGACTCTGATGGGCCTGGACACCTTTGCTTTGTAGGCCCCTTCCTCTATTAAAAAAAAAAGAGGCCGGGCGCGGTGGCTCAAGCCTGTAATCCCAGCACTTTGGGAGGCCGAGACGGGCGGATCACGAGGTTAGGAGATCGAGACCATCCTGGCGAACACGGTGAAACCCCGTCTCTACTAAAAAAAAAATACAAAAAACTAGCCGGGCGTGGTGGCGGCGCCTGTAGTCCCAGCTACTCGGGAGGCTGAGTCAGGAGAATGGCGGGAACCCGGGGGGCGGAGCTTGCAGTGAGCTGAGATCCGGCCACTGCACTCCAGCCCGGGCGACAGAGCCAGACTCCATCTCAAAAAAAAAAAAAAAAAAAGAGAAAAAGGTAATATTTTATGACTATGTTGGCATAAAAATGAATGTTTATATATTAAAACATTTTATTTAACTTAAAAGGTTAGGAGTTTTTATTTTAAAATAAATTAACCCCCCCAGCATTTTGGAAGGCTGAGGCGGGTGGATCACGAGGTCAAGAGATCGAGACCATCCTGGCTAACAGTGGTGAAACCCTGTCTCTACTAAAAATACAAAACTTAGCTGGGTGTGGTGGCACGCACCTGTAATCCCAGCTACTTGGGAGGCTGAGGCAGGAGAATGGCTTGAACTCGGGAGGCAGAAGTTGCAGTGAGCCGAGATTGTGCCACTGCACTCCAGCCTAGCAACAGAGTGAGACTCCGTCTCAAAAAATAAAATAAAATAAAATAAAATAAAATAAAATAAAATTAATTAATTAATTAATTAATTAAAACCTTTTGATGGGTCCCTAAAAATACTCTGCACCATAGGTACTGTGCCTAATGGACAAGTTGTCCCTTGCCACAGTGGTTGCCTAGGGGCCATAACAGAAGAGTTTTGTCATTTTTTTTCTAGCTCCCTACAAGTGGTCACATTAACTTCAAGGCAAAATCTAGAAGGACCAGCTCAACAAGTAGAGAACTGTGTATATGAGTGTCTTGTTAGCAGATCTTGCCACATTTTTCACATTTTTTTTTTGAGACCGAGTCTCGTTCTGTCACCCAGGCGGAGTGCAGTGGCCCGATCTTGGCTCACTGCAGCCTCCACCTCCCAGATTCACGCCATTCTCCTGCCTCAGTCTCTCGAGTAGTTGGGACTATAGGCGCCTGCCACCACACCCGGCTACTTTTTTGTATTTTTAGTGGAGACGGGGTTTCACCGTGTTAACCAGAATGGTCTCAATCTCCTGGCCTCGTGATCTGCCCACCTCGGCCTCCCAAAGTGCTGGGATTATAGGCATGCGCCACCATACCCGGCCAGACCTTGCCACATTTTGTCCTGAAGTAATGACAGTTACCAGTGTCTACAATGCATAACTGTAAATGTCAGTGCCTTGGGTTGTCAGTTGAATTGCATGAAAATAAACTACCAAGGGTAAAACTGCTCAAGTAAAGTGGCCAGGTCCAATCCACTGTCTGGATACCACCCAAGGAATGCCTGTGAAGTCTCAAGTTTTTTAATCTTATAAATTACTCTCATTCCCTGTCCTTTAATATACACAAGCATATACCATTATATGCTGCCTGGTGGGGCAGTATTGATTTGTTGCAATGCTATTTATCTCAGAAGTAAGTTTGCCTAGTCTTTAGGATTTCTGCTTGCCTCTTGCTAACTCTAAGGGCAAATGGAATGTTCTGAGCACATGCTCTGAAGTCTAGTCTCACTAATTTCCTGCTATGTGAGTGGAAATCCTCACGTCCTTCATCTGTTTAATGGGAATAACCAGAAAGCAGATCTCATATGGTTGTTGGAGGATAGAAAGCAATAATACAAGTGCCTGCTATATAGTAAGCATAAACAATTATTTTTTTCTGGCAGGGCATCGTGGCTCACACCTGTAATCCCAGCACTTTGGGAGGCCGAGGTGAGCGGATGATCTGAAGTCAGGAGTTCAAGACCAGCCTGACCAACATGGAGAAACACCCGTCTCTACTAAAAATACAAAATTAGCCGGGCCTGGTGGTGCATGTCTGTAATCCCAGCTACTCCGGAAGGCTGAGGCAGGAGAATTGCTTGAACCCAGGAGGCAGAGGTTGCAGTAAGTGGAGATCGTGCCACTATATTCCAGCCTGGGCAACAAGAGCAAAACTAGGTCTCAAAAAATAAAAAGATATTATTTTCTTTTTGTTTTCGTTTGTTTGTTTGTTTGTTTTTGAGATGGAGTCTCATTCTGTCACCCAGGCTGGAGTGCAGTGGTGTGATCTTGTCTCACTGCAACTTCTGCCTCCTAGGTTGCAGTGATACTCTTCCTTCGGCCTCCCGAGTAGCTGGGATTATAGCGGTGCCCCATCACGCCTAACTGATTTTTGTATTTTTAATAGAGACGGGGGTTTCACCATGTTGGCCAGGCTGCTCTTGAACTCCTGACCACAGGTGTTCCACCCGCCTCGGCCTCCCAAAGTGCTGGCATTACAGGCGTGAGCCACCATGCCCAGCAATAATCATTTTCATGCCATAGCATCTACTGGCCTCCTCCTATAGCGACCAATGCAAAGAAGAGCAAACAAATCACTGCTTTGTTCATCTGTTAGCCTCAGAGCATGGCCAAATTCCTAGCACATATTAGGCAACCAAAAATATTTCTTGAATGAATAATCAAACAAATGAATAAATAGTTCCTAACATGTTTTAAAATAAGTTATTAACCTCGTGGCTAGCGGCAACATTTCCCTCTTTCCTATATCCTGTTTTTAATTAATAAGTTATTTTTCCTAACAGTAAATGTATTATGTTGTTGAAATTTTAGATACGACACAGAAAAGTGCAAAAGAGAAAATATAAAACCATGCATACCCTAAAGCCCAGAAGCAACCTCTGCTAATGTATTGGTATCCTTCCAGAGCTTTTTTCAATATATGTCTAGTACATCCTCCCACATTATAAATCTATGACTACTTGCCTATAGTCATGTGCTGTGTAACAATGTTTCCATCAATGACAGACTGCATCTAGGAAGGTGGTCCCATAAGATTATAATGGAACTGAAAATTTTTCTATTGCCTAGTGGCATCATAGCCGTCGTATGTTGTAGCACAACACATTACTTGCATGCCCTTAGTGATGGTGGTGTAAACAAATCTATTGCACTGTTAGTCATATAAAAGTATAGCACATACAATTATGTACAGCATACAATGCTTGATAGTAATAAGTCACTTTGTTACTGTATTTATTATATTATACCTTTTATTTTTATTTTAGAATGTACTCTTTCTACTTATGTATTTTTTAAAAAGATAACTGTAAAACACCCTCTGGCATGTCCTTCAGGAGGTATTCCAGAAGGTGTTGTTATCATAGGAGATGACAGCTCCATGCACCTTACTGCCCCCATCTCCCTGCGAGGTAAGATGTAGAGATGGAAGACAGTGTTATTGCTGATTCTGACCCTGTGTAGACCTGGGCTAATTGTGTTTGTGTCTTCGTTTTTAACAAAAAGTTTAAAAACTAAAACTAAAAATTGTTAAAAATAGAGAAAAACTTATAGACTAAGAATATAAAGAAAGAAAATATGTTTGTACAGTTAGACAATGTGTTTCAGACTAAGTGTTATTACAAAGGAATCACAAAGTTAAAAAAAATTAAAATGTTTTTCAAGTAAAAATGTTACAGTACACTAAGGTTAATTTATTATTGAAGAAAGAAAAAATGTGGCCGGGTACAGTGGCTCAGGCCTGTAATCCCAGCACTGTGCGAGGCTGAGGCAGGCAGATCACAAGGTCAGGAGATTGAGACCAGCCTGGCCAACATGATGAAACCCCGTCCCTACCAAAAACATAAAAAATTAGCCAGGCGTGGTAGCATGCACCTGTAATCCCAGTTACTCAGGAGGCTGAGGCAGGAGAATTGCTTGAGCCCAGGAGGTGGAGGTTGCAGTGAGCCGAGATCATGCCACTGCACTCCAGCCTGGGCAACAGAGCAAGACTTTGTCTCAAAAAAAAAAAAAAAAGAAAAAAAAAAGTTTAGTAGATTTAGTGTAGCCTAAGTGTACAGTGTTTATAATGTCTACAGTAGTGTAGAGCAATGTCCTAAGGCCTTCACATTCACTCAATCAATCATTCACTCTCCCACAGCCACTTCTAGTTCTGCAGGCTCCATTAATGGCCGGTGCCCTATACAAGCATACCATTTTTATCTTTTATATCGTATTTTTACTGTATACATACCATTGTGTTACAATTGCCTACAGTATTTAGTACAGTAACGTGCTGTACAGGTTTGTAACCTAGCAGCAATAAGCTATACCACCTAGCCTGGATGTGGAAGGCTATAACATCTAGGTTTGTGAAAGCACAATCCAATATTTGTACAATGACAGCATCACCTGACGACACATTTCTCAGAACACATCCCCATCATTGTTAAGCGGCACATGATTGTATTTCAGTATAGTCTCTGAAAGTGGCAGTGCTCTGGGAACACTTATGTATAAAGTCTCCAATACCTGGTATGAATGAGTGAGTTTGTCAAAGTGTTTTTACCATTGACTGAAAAGATCTGCATAACCTGAAACTCAGAGTCATCGGGGCAAATGGAAAACATTTTTGAGAAGGAGGAAATGAAGCTAAACTTTACCCATTGTAAAACTGAGGCTGGGCGCAGTGGCTCACGCCTGTAATCTCAGCACTTTGTAAGGCCAAAGCCGGTGGATCACCTGAGGTCAGCAGTTCCAGACCAGTCTGGCCAACACGGTGAAACCTCATGTCTATTAAAATACAAAAATCAGCCGGGCGTGGTGGTGAGCATCTGTAATCCCAGCTACTTGGGAGGCTGAATCTCTTGAACCCGGAATGCGGAGGTTGCAATGAGCCGAGATCGCACTACTGCACTACAGCCTGGGTGACAAGAGCAAAACTCTGTCTCAAAAAATAATAAAAAGTAAAATAAAATAAATTGAGCCACAGCTGGCCTTGATGATGAACATCAAGTCAGTACGGCTTAATGCAGAATCCTAATAACAATGGTCCTGTCTTGCTAAAGAAGTAAAGCAAACAAAGACCCCGTAACATTACCTGCATTTATATGTAAGAAGAAGGACAAAGAGGTTTTTTTTTTCTCAAAAGTTGTTTTAAGATTCATAGTCATCCACCTTTCACTTTTGAAATTAATGTTAGCTTGTTTCCACAAAAAGTGTGAGGAAATGAGTCAGGACAGAGTAAAAGGGTGGAGTGGGAGGGTTGGGGAGAGAGAGAAAGAGAAAGAGAGAGAGAGAGAGAGAACTCATCTGAGGAATAGAGGCAGGGTGATTATGTCTGAGTGGTTTTACTATCCTACACCTGGGTTTCCTGAGACTGGGAAAGTTCCAGGAATAGAAGCTGCCTTGAGAGCTTCCTATTGGCATTCTTTCCCATTAATTTGGCTTTTTGCAAGTTATTAGGCAACTTAAGTTGTTTAACTTTAACAGTGTTCTGTTTTTCTGTGGTTTCTGGATTATGTAATACCTAATCAAAGAATAAACAACCAAGGAAAATAAGTTTTTCTTCATACTTTGGCAAGTGTATTCAAAAGGCAAAGATCTAGATCTGAGAAACAGTTTGGTAAAAGTGAAGGTGCAATTAGAAAACTAAATATCACAGAAATGAACTGGCTGGCCTCTCCAGGGAGGTTTTCAAGGTGATATATTTTCAGTGAAATGAATCATACATGCTTTTATGGTCACTGGTCAGAGTGAAGGTTACTCGGTAGAAAAGCAGTGTTGTTTTGATTCTACTAGTCTGATGGTGAGAATGCCCTTGAATTCAAATTAAAGAAATGTTTATTGCTGGTGCCTACAGCACTGATATATGACTTTGTTTTGCAGTTAAACTCAGATCACTTTTCATGCTATTGGGAACTTATTTTTCAGCCCACAAGATGGAAGAACAGATGATTTAACTGATATTAAATAGAGGCTGTTATTACCTTTTGTATGGTCACTTTTTGACCTCAGTTGAACCTATGAGAAATGTAAACAAAACTGTGTATACATTTAAATATGAAGTGAATTCTTCAGGCAGAAAGCACAAGGTTATAGCCATAATGTAGAAGAAAAAACAATAAAAAGGTAACCCCAAAGCAGGTACCACCCTCATACCTGGTTTGATTTATGTGATCTTGGAGACGATTGCCACACCTAAAATGCAGATAATAATAAATATTTATCCTATCTGCCTCATGGAGACTCACACGAAGTACTGATGGGTGCACTTTCACAATAATTTGCCTTCTTTTCACCTCGCTAAGCATTATGCTAAGTGCATTGTATTTTATATCTATTCTTCTTAACTATTCTGCAAGCTGAGTGTCCTCTCTCTCCTCTCTCTCTCTTTCTCTTTTTTTCCCTCTCTTTCTCTCTGTCTCTCTCATAGAAGGAGAAATTAAAACTCAGAGACTATAAGTAATTTTTTCAAGGTGTAAATGAATGATTTGAGATCACAAGACTGAGAAAAATAGACTATTCTTTATGAGGAAATATAGGTCATGTAGCTTTGGATTGATACTCTTTTCACTTGGTTATTTTATCTGACAAAATTCAGATGAAAAAGCAGAGACTTACTTTTTCACCTTAAATCATTTTTTCCTAGGAAATGTTAAAAGAAAAATCATTGCTAAAAATAACATTTTTTTGCTTTCATTTAAATGCTTTTCTAGTTCGTACAATACTTCTCAAACGTAATCTCTGCTGGAATGCTTTTTAATTTTTTACCTTTAGCTCCTAGCAAATATGAATTTGTTTTTTGTTGTCATTGTAAGACCCAACAAAGCAAATTAAAATGTTAAGAAGAAATATACAGAAGTGAACCTCTACCACACCACCTTAGACAATTGGCTGAAGTCAGCATCACCAGCAAAGGGACGAATCAACATCATGTGCCTCCTAGCATGCTGCACTGAGCAGAACACAACAATACTTGAATGATATTCCTGACAAAGGTTGTATAACCTCAATCTATAATGATCTGACAACCCCAGATTGAGGGACATTCTAGTAAATGACTCATCTGTACTCTTCAAAAATGTCCATATCATGAAACACGGTAAGACTGAGGAACTCTTTGAGAATAATGGAGACTAAAAGGCCGTGACGGCTGAATGCAGCACCTGATCCAAGACTTTCATTTGTTATAAAGGACATTATTGGAATAATTGGCTAGATCTGAATAAGGTCTGTACATCAGATAGTAGAATTAGATCAATGTTAATGTTTTAATTTGATTATTGTTGCATGGTTATATAAAAGAATATACTAAAATATTTAAGTACTAAAGGGTATCATGCCTGCAACTTATTCTCAAAGAACTCAGAAAATGTGTTGAGAAAGAAAAGAAAAAAAGCAAACAATGCAGTAAAATGTTAATGTTTGGGTAATTCCAGATGGAGAGCACTCAGGGATTCTTAGTAATAATCTTGCAACTTCTCTGTAAGATGGAAATTGTGTAAAGTTTTTTTTCTTTTTTCTTTTTGAGATGGAGTTTTGCTCTTGTTGCCCAGACTGGAGTGCAAGTGCACAATCTCGGCTCACTGCAAGCTCCGCCTCCTGTGTTCAAGCGATTCTCCTGCCTCAGCCTCCTGAGTAGCTGGGATTACAGGCGTGTGCCACAACGCCCAGCTAATTTTTATATTTCTAGTAGAGACGGGGTTTCACCATGTTGGTCAGGCTGGTCTGAATGCCTGACCTCATGATCTGCCCACCTCGGCCTTCCAAAGTGCTGGGATTACAGGCATGAGCCACTGAGCCCAGTCAGTGTAAAAAATTTTTTAAAAACCTTCTTAAGGTGCGTATATGCAAATTTATCTTTTTATTTTTAATATTTTTAAATTCTTAATTTTTAAATTTTTGTGGGTACACACTAGGTGTATATATTTATAGGGTACATGAGATGTTTTGATACTGGTATGCAATGTGTAATAAGCATATCAGGGAGAATGGGGTATCCATCCCCTCAAGCATTTATCCTTTGTATTATAATCAATCCAATTACACTCTTTTCATTATTTTTAAATGTACAGTTACTATTAACTATAGTTGTCCTGTTGTGCTATCAAAGAGTAGATCTTATTCATTGAATCTAACTATTTCTTTGGACCCATTAACCATACTCATCTCCTCCACCCACCCCCAAGTCCCAACTACCTTCGGAGCCTCTGGTAAGCAACCTTCTTCTCTGTATGTCTGTGAGTTCAACTGTTTTCATTTTTAGATCCCACAAGTAAGCAAGAACATGAAATGTTTCTCTTTTTGTGCCTGGCTTATTTCACTTAACATAATAATCTCCAGTCCATTCATGCTGTTGCAAATGACAAGATCTCATTCTTTTTTTATGGTGGAATAGTACTCTATTATGAATATGTACTACAT